TCTCTTGCACACATCCTCCCTCAGCCTAAATCCCAGYCCAACCTGGAGAGAGCAGAGCTTTGAGTCCTTCCCCATTTGACTTTCACACCAACCTCGTAACCTGGTTTGTGCAAACTCCCAGGCACTTGGAGCTTCCTGACCTACACCTAAAATTATTTCTCCTGATGGGAATATCCAAATGAGGTTTCAATGACAAAAGTTTATAAACCCTCCCCAGGTTATTTGGCACAGTGGTATTTAATGTTTAAAGCATTGCTGTGGGAGCAGGGATGGGATGAAGAAGGTGAGGGCAGAGGCTGAGCTAAGCCCCCAGTGCCCACCCAGGGTCCCCACTGTCACCCAGCTCAGGCACAACCCTTCAGCACCAGCACCAGCCCAGAGCTGCTGTTTAGGCTGAATTWCAGCCAGTTTTGTCTCAGCCCGATGCAGAAATCCAATTGCTCACAGCACTAATATGATTTGATAAATACTTTGAACCAACGTAACTTCATTGCTGAGCTGCTGATTCAATCCAGGTCCCAAACCCATCATGACCTTGATTTCATGGCCTGATCACAACCAGCCTTTAATGAAATTACAGCACTTGAGCTTCCTCGGTGATTGTTTAATCTCAATATTGTTTTCATTCTTCTTCATCAGAGATGGGAGGTGAATGGAGCTGGTTTGTTCTCCCGGTTTTCAGCACAGGTCAAGCCCCGTCTCAGTCACTCCACGAGGAGGATGAGCCATGTGAGCAGGCAGCTCTCAGCCCTCTCTCCTCGTGTGGARCAGCAGCTCGGGACTGATTCACAAGGAATAAAAGCCTGGCTGAATGTGACATTCAGCAGCAACAGCCCCCGAGCACAGCGCTGCTCCTGACCATGACTTTGGAGCTGGGAAATCGCTCCTGCAGCATTGGGAGCTGCTCTGGAGCTCCGTGAGCTGCAAACCACGAGGGGTTTAATCCTGCAGTGCTCATCCTCGCCTGGCAAACTGCACAGCCCAGGGACTGTGGGACAAGACAAGGCTGGACCAGCTCAGGAGAATCCTCCTGTGAGAGTCTCTGAGCATCCTCAGCCCCTGCCCCAAAGCTCCTGCTCCCCAGCCATTGCTGTGTGCAGCCCCTGCTGCMCTCCAGCATTTATTTCTGCTTTATAAAGGGGGAAATCTGAATTAAAGAGCGAGAGGTGAGATGTTTAGACTGCCTTGGTGGGCTCTCTGATTGTGGACACACAGCCACACCGATGCCCTTCCAGACAGGGGCTGTCCTCTGCCAAAATCAGACAGCCCCAAATCTCCTCTCACTCTGCCAAACRTTACATAAAGCTGGAGGTCCCTGCAGGACAGTCCTGCTGCTGCCACCACGTCTCAGCCACCCTCTCGCTGGCAGGTGATGACAAGATGTGGTCACTCCCCGAGTGRAGAGGCAGAAAGGAGCAGCTCTGCTTCCTGGAGCATTAAATATGAAGGAAGATGATGACAGAGCATCAGACTGCTGGCTGGCGGCTGCTCCAGCAGCTCCACGGGATGAGCCTTCAGAGGAGCAAGATGTTATTGCTGCCTCCGAGGAGGTGACACTTCCATCAACAGCAGCTTCTCCCACGAGGAGACAAGAAACCAGCCCTAGCCCATCAGGGGACTCCAGCCAGCCCTGGCTGATGGGGCTGCGGTCCCCAGGCACCCTCCTGGTGCAGCCATCAGTGTCCCCAGAGCGTCCCCAGGTGCCTYAGCAGCTCCCAGGAGGCCACCAGGGCTTTGGCAAGTGGCCACAGGGGTGGCTTTGGGCCAGCTCAACAAACCAGGCTGAGGAAAGCAAAACCCCACAAAGCTCTGCAGCTGCTCCTGATCCACTCAAACCTGGATTCGGCTCCTCAAAGCCCAGTCCCAGCTTCTCAAAGCCSARTTCCAGCTCCYCAAAGCCCARTYCCAGYWCCYCAMAGCCCARTTCCAGCTTYTYAAAGCCCAGTTCCAGMTYYYCAAAGCCCAGTCCCAGCTYCTCAAAGMCCAGTYCCAGCTCCTCAAARCCCARTTCCAGYTCYYCAAARCCCAGTTCCAGCTCYCCAAAGCYCAGTCCCAGCTCCTCAAAGMCCAGTTCCAGCTCYYCAAAGCCCAGTYCCAGCWYCYCAAAGCCCARTTCCAGYTCCTCAAARCCCAGTTCCAGCTCTCCAAAGCCCAGTTCCAGCTCCTCAAAGCCCAGTTCCAGCTCCCYAAAGCCCCAGACAAGGCTCTGTCCTTGGGCCAGGACCAACACTCAGAGTTCCAGGCTGGCTCTCGCTGCAATCCCCTCTTTCCAATGGTTAAAGCAGCCTCGAGGGTGGCCCCAARCTCTCTTTTTCTGCTGAGGAAACACCAGCTCTGCAGTCAGCAGAGAGCAGAGGGGAGTGCCCTCTTGGCTGAATTCAGCAATTTTCACTTTGTGTTCAGATCTAAGGCAAAGCAAACCCCCGCCGAGCGCAGCGGAGCAGCCACGGAATCGCGGAATATTCCGGGCTGGAAGGGTCTCATAGCTCTGTAAGCTCAAAAGCCATCATAAGGCTTTTTTCAGAGATAAGCACTTCCTAAATACTTACTGCTGCAAGATTAAAGGCACTGAGTGTGTGATCCTGTTTCCCTGGGCTGGCAGGAGTGCCCCAAACCCGCCCCMAAMCCMSCCCMAAMCYKSCCC